AGCAGCAGGAGTAGTAGTAGGAGGAGGAGTAGCAGCAGCAGCAGCAGCAGCAGCAGCAGCAGCAGTAGCAGTAGCACCAGCAGTACCAGTAGCAGTTCCAGTAACAACAACAACAACAACTACAACTACAACAACAACAACAACAACTACTACTACTACTACTACTCCTGCTGCTGCTGCTGCTGCTACTACTACTACTACTACTCCTCAGTAGATGCATTCGTTGTAGCTTTAGTGGTTACGAACACGTATAGTTGAATACCGATGATGTCTTGAAAAGTCCTTCTTGCACGGTCATCTCTTTGATCGTTTTGTAGGCTCAAGCAATGCATCGTAGGGTAGAACATTTGGCAGGGTACATTTTTGCAACAGTTCTTGGCTGCCCAAGAGATTGCCCATGATACCTCTTGGGGACTCCAGCATTTCCACGATTTAATTCGCCTTGGAGCTAGGTAGCTTCCCCAAGCAACGGATTTCGTCGTAACGTTGTCTTCCGTATCGAAGCTTGTGGGAGCCAGCCGTGCTTGCTCTCGTGATTCGTGATGCAGACAGCACGTGTACAGATGCAGTGGTTTTGGCTTGCTGAAGCGAGCAAAGGTGCGATTGCCAAGCGAAGCGCATGCACAGGACGCCGCCGATGCCGCCCTCTCGCGGCTGACTTTCTGTAAAGCTTTGCTGCCGGTCGGCGTTTCGCGTGCCCCAAGACTGTCTTGAACGTTCCAGGCTCTCTTGGTGAAGGCTTGCTCGCAGCAATACTCCCGGCTGCTTGAATCGGGAAGACTTGGCCGCAAAGCCTATCAGAAGAGGAGTTCTGCTTCGCAGTTTCAAAGGCTGGCCGACATGTTAAGCAGAGCTTTCGACCTGTGATTGGACATGAAACCTCTTTCAACCTACTCAAGATTGTCAACCACCGGGTCCTGATTAGCAACTTCGAGTGGGATGTGTGAGCTTACATGCTAACTCATACCTCGAAACCTCGAACCCGTAAACCCTGAACCCCAAACCTTCGCCCGCCATACTTGGAGGTTCATGGGTAGTTCTAAGTGGGGTTATAAGTCCCCTAATATGGGTCATAACTATAGTTACCCTACTTATAACTCCACTTATACCTACCCATGAACCTCCAGTACTTGAAGCTCTCAGCCACCGTGGCCCTTCAACCCCGATCCT